TTAATGACCCTACAAATATGATCTAAAGCCACAGCTTGATTTGAGGATTAGTTCCTGGTCTGGTCAATATTATCTGAACAGAACCCTGTTGTTGTGTGGGATATCACCCAGAAAATGATAGGAGCCTCCACGTGCTGCCCAGCTGCAGGACAGAAGGGCTCGCACAAATGACAGATGCACAAATGACCCTGGGGATCAAACCTAACCACTGCAAGGCTGGGAGATGAGGGGGAAAGAGAAGCGCAGGTTGATAGTCCACGTGGAAGAGGTGGATGGAAGGCTACATCTGCGCCTTGTGCGGTGGGTAGTCACAGGTCCTGCCCCTCTCAGACTTCCTCAGCAGCATGTGGCGGCAAGGACCAGAGTCAAGGTTTGAACCAAAGACCTGGAGACAGGAAGGTGCCTGGGGCTCTAACTCTTGAACCATGCGTCCAGACCTTTTTTTCCTCTAGTTATTTTTCTAGATAGGATCTCACATTTTTTCCTGGGACTGGTCTTAGACCATGATCCTTCTGCCTGCACCTCTGGCACAGCTGGGATTACAGACTTGTGTCATCATGCCCAGTTTTATTGGTTGAGATGGGAGTCTTGCTAACTTTTCGCCTGGATTAGCCTTGAAATGTGATTCTGCCAAATAGCTGGGATTACAGGTACATTACCACACACCAGACCCCCTGAGACATGCTCTTGATTTATCTGAGACAGTCAGGGGTAGAGATGCCTGGTCCCAGCTGTGGCTAGCACGATTCACAGCGCAGCCATACCTCCACTCGGCATGGCTGGGGCCAACCTGGGCTGGTGTGTGGCTGACTTAGGGAAAACAGAGCTTTGAGGTGCACATCTGTTTCTTTCCAGCCTCTTCTGTCTGAGAGAATAAACTTGCTAGATCCATCCTTTTTGTCATATGACACTGCTTATAGGTCAACTCACTTGGTGTCCGCAAGCAACAAGGCTCATGAATGTCACCTGCATCTCACAAGCTTTTCTCTTGCCCACTCTCTGAACAGAACACACCTTCGGTTTCACAAAACCCATCTTGTTCTAAAGCAGAACTGAGTAGTCTCAAATAACAGCAAAGGGTCATGACACTGACCTTCACTAACTTGCACTAACTAGGGCTCCTTGGGTACAAGTAACAGATGCCAACTGTTAAGGGCTAAATTGTGTTTCACCCCTAAATCCATGTGTGGAAGCCCGGGCCCCCAGGGCTGCAGAGTGTGACTACATTTGGAGACAGAGGGGGTATTTGGGTCCTCATTTCCAGATTTTATTCATTAACGTCTATTCAGTATGCCATCAACAGTCCTCCTGTGTGCATTCTGCTGAAAAGACATCTAGGAGACTGAGCAAGTTTGTCACTTAATAAGTCTGAATTCACCTTTTCCACTTCTTATAGCACACGGTCATCATTGAAACAGATTGCTTTTGAACAGATCTTGGTTTTAAAGACTCAGATACCGTGAGTTCTGTATAAACTGGTGGACAGCGGGTTAGTTCCTTTGTTTTGACTTGTAAGCCTCAGCTTCACTGAAGAATTTTTAAAAAAAAAAGCAGGGCCAAAGAAAGCATAATGTTTGTCCCTAGAATTAAAGCTTTCCGGATGGATGGGCTCAACACTGACTCACTGAATAGACTACACGGAAATTGTTCAAGATGTCTTTAGCTTTAATCATTAATAGTTTGAGCAGCACTGTAGTACTGGTTGCTATTTAAAATCAAAACCCTGTTTCTGCATCCCCAAGGAGGTGGCTTGTGTACACAACCATGCCAGCCTGTATCTAGGGGTGTGTCACTACAAATTCCAAAGAAACTGGCTTTCAGAAGGGATCACGAGAATGGCGTTAATCGTCCTTCTTAGCACAGGGACAGTAGCAAGCAAGCACTTAGTAACTGCACACCACAGCAGTGCTGGCAGGGCAGAGGCTGTGCCTACCCCCGAGAGCTGTAAAAACTAGCTCGTACATGACATGCAGTGAGAGGCAAAGCAATCCCTCTGTAATAAAATTTTAAAATAAGAAAAATGCTCACACATGATAAAAGCGAGAGCACACAAGGGAGGGGTGAGGATAGGTAAGACACCTAAAAAATTAGCTAGCATTTGTTGCCCTTAACGCAGAGAAACTAAAGCAGATACCTTAAAGCAACTGAGGCCAATAGGAAAAGGGGACCAGGAACTAGAGAAAAGGTGAGATCAAAAAGAATTAACCTAGAAGGTAACACACACGCACAGGAAATTAATGCGAGTCAACTCCCTGTATAGCTCTCCTTATCTCAACCAGCAAAAACCCTTGTTCCTTCCTATTATTGCTTATACCCTCTCTACAACAAAATTAGAAATAAGGGCAAAATAGTTTCTGCTGGGTATTGAGGAGGTGGGGGGGGACAGGGAGAGGGCGGAGTGGGTGGTAAGGGAGGGGTGGGGGCAGCGGGGAGAAATGACCCAAGCCTTGTATGCACATATGAATAATAAAAGAAAAAAAAAAGAAAAATGCTCACAGTGGTTTGTATCAACTGTGTGTGTTTCCTGACAATACCAGCTAGAGATTCAGAGTACCCTAGGGCTGTCTTTATGTCCTAAAGAAAAGGACCATTTCTATCACTCATGGTTCATACAGAAATTTTTCTTAAAGATTAGCTGTACACTTACCCCTCAGATGGCATAAACAGTCCGGGGGGGGTGGGGAGAGGGTTACAGCTTTAACATCTCATTAAAGTTGTTTGCAAAAGGAACAGGGAATCATTTAATTTTTTTTTTCTTAAGAGTTGAATGTCTTTCGTTTTTGCTATAACCATGAGCTTTTATTTGTTAAATAAAAATGGGAGGAGGGGCCACACAAACACAGATCTCTCTGAGCAAGCTGACCGTCCACACCACAAGTTTTGAAATGGAAGGTTGCATACTATATGTCATAAGTCCCAACTAAGCAGTGTCACAATGACGCTATTTCTTTGTTCGCTTTTTGGCTATACTTCTCTGTGACAGGTCTTGTGACTTTGGTCTTTTCTCTGCAGGCTCTCAGATCTAAAAGGAACCCATTAGTCTTTCATCCACACTCACCATGGCACCTGTACTGTGAACCTCTCCACAATAACCAAGTGCAGGAGCAGAGTGGCTGGCTGCCTCCGTGCAAAACCAAATATCCATCTTCATCCACCTCCACCTGGTACGTCAACTTTCCAAATCTGTTCCACAGAAGAGGACTCTGGTGACAAATCTCAATGAGACCCAATGCTTTCTCACCCACCATGGTTACAGTGGGTGAATGTTTTTCCAGTTTAGTGCTGGATCTTCTTTTGTAGTCATCATAAAACACGTAAGCACATTCGTGGCTCCTTCTGAGAAGACAGCAATTTCCAGTATACTTGACTTTGTAGACCAGGTCAATAAGCTCCAGTGACTGCTCCCCTGTCCATACAGTCCCCAAGAAACAGGTAGCTGCTTTCTGGCGGGAAACCAAAGTATTCCAAAAGTCAAAGTAAATCATAAAATGGCCCATGGGTATCACTACATACTTTGAGGTGTTTCAAGTAGGATAAGCTGAAAGATCTGAGAGTAAGCTCAGTCCTCTGACTTCTTTCCCCCGGAACTGGACATCCTTACTGGCCTGGACCCTCTCAATCCAGCAGCTGTTGGATGATCTGTTCATGCTGAGTTCATCCAGACTTCCATCGCCTTTCACCACCAAGGCCTCCCACACACCCTGCGGCAGGCTTACCCCTCTGCCAGGGATTCACACACCTCTCCCACACCATGGAAGCAGCAGGGACAGCAGATGCCTTAGGTCCTCCCTGCAGGCACCCTGCTCCCTGCTTCCTCCCTCTCTTCCCACTGGAACCACTGAGACAGGGCCTTTGCAGAGGTGATTGGGGATAAAACCAGACATTCGGGCGGGCTCTAATTCAATCTGACTGCAGTTCTCATCAGAACAGAGATGCAGACGCACAGACAGAAGATTACGTGAACAGGCAGCAAGAGGATGGCCATGTGCAAGCCAAGGAGCCAGGCCTCAGGAGACTCCAGTCCTGCCATGACCTTCATCTAGGTCTTCCAGCGTCCAACATCGTGAGGAGGAAAATGTCTACTGTTTCAGCCCTCCGTCTGTGGTATTTTCTTATGGCAGCTGGAACTGCCAGCTCCTGATGAAGAAGGGGACTGGTCACTGCAGGGCTTTGGTTCCAGGACCCCCTTGGGTACCTGAGGGTGCTCAAGTCCCTGACATAAAAGGACACAGTGTTTACACACAATCGACACACATCCTCTTGCACACTTTAACTTATCTCTAGAGGACTTATAATGCCCCAGAAGATGCAAATGCTATGAAAATATCCTTTAGGGACAAGAAACAGGTCTGTACACGTTCACTACATTTGCAACTTTTTCCCCTAAGGTTTTTGACCTGGGGTTGGTTGGATCTGCAGATACGGTTGGTTGGATATGAGGCCCCACTCTTTATGGCTTCTGGGTGTCACTGGAACCCCAGGGTCAGAACTCCCTGCCACCTCCCTGCTCCCTGCCTCCCAGCAAACCCTGTCCCCCTCACTGCCTCTGACCCATGCTTTGATCCCCTGTCCAGGCTGAGGCTGTCATGACTCCCACACCCCCTTGTCTAGCTAGAAAGCCCCTGAGTACCCCAAAAAGGTGAGTCTGTCCTCATGAAATTTCATCTGAACAACTTCAAGGATGTGGAAAGCTCTAGAAAGTTCCCTGGATTGGTGGTCTGCAGGCCGGCGGAAAGGGGGCAGGTGTAGGACATCATGGCCGGCTTTGAAAGTGTCTGGCACTTTACGGATCACATGGGCACTCCAGCTTCATTCTGGTCAAGGCAGGAAAAGTGAGCGCTGGCTCAGAACTCACTGCCTTGTTCCGCTCAGACTACTGCGAAGAGTAAGAGCAGAAAATTTGCAAGCAGCCTATGCAAATGTCAGAGTTACAAGCCTGGTGTCACTCCCCCCACCTTGGGGACACTAGACTTGCCCTGAATGGCTGCTCACCCCCACCCTCAGCCTGTCTCCCTGGAGTCCAGGGGGGACTTGGAGCCTTTAAGAGCTCCTGGGGTAGACAGGTGCCATTACCACACTACAAACCCCTTACCAGCAGAGCTGTGTTTGTTCAGGTCCTTTGTCACCACAGCTTGCCTGGTTCCCAGCTCCACATGGCCACGGACTCTGCGGTGGCCAGGAGGGGCCAGTGCTGCCAACCCTGCAGAATCCCGCTCTTCCTCCCCCACTTTCGGGCCACAGGGGGAACACAATACCCTGTCATGGCTTCCTGAAAAGCCCAAGCCGCACAGAGATAGATCCTGGTACCAGCAGACCTTCCCCCACACAGGGGCTGCTTGGTCACAGTGGTCACAGTGTGAGGAACATGGAAGAAGGGAGGTCTTGGCCTGGGAGAGGCAGGGCCTTGTGTGGTCACTGGTTGAATGGTCAGCATTCCAGAAGCAGACAGGGTTGCTGGTCACCCAGGCCACCTGTACAGGTTTGCCTTCTCCTGGCTTCCCTTTCTTCTCTTCCACCCGCCATCCCCCACCCCACCTACACACACACACACACACATGAATCCACCTGCCTCCTCTCCCTGCATTACTGCAGACACACACCAAATGACAGTGTCACCAGTCCCTTCTCAAGGCAGAGCAGGACACTTAGTAGCCCCTTTCTCAGTGATGCCTTCCGACGAGAGAATTCTTGAAGCCGCAGAGGTCCACCTCCACCCTGAAGGACATGCAAAGCTGGCTCTGGAGTTGGTAACTGTCTTCCAGCTCCTGGGCTGTGGAGGGAAATTATTCCCGTACTGGGCGCCGTTCTCTGACCCTTCCCCAACCCGCCTTCTCTCCCATCTTACCTGTGGCCTGCAGACAAGAAGGAAGCAGTGTGTAACCCTGTCTGCCTCTGTTTGTTCTGTGCAGAACTCAGCAGCTCTCACTCGCCCCCCAAAGTGACAGGAGCAGCTGGCGCCACTGAGAAGCTCTTGGACAGCCGAGAAGACCAGGGCCAGGTGTCTTGGTGATGAGGCAGAGAGCACTTCCTGACAGCGAGGAATCGTGGGGAGAGGCACAGGGCACGTGCCAGCTAGGACACCTCATGCATGGGCCGGCAGCACACCAGAGGACAAGATTCCCCCCGCTTCCACCCCTGTACAGGAAGAAGAGAAAAGGGCAGGAGCAGTGAAGAGACTTATAAATCATTACGACACACTGAAATCTACCAGGGATTAGGCAAAAGAAAGTTTGGTTATTTTTACCTCTAACTAGCAGGCAGAGGATATAAGATTGGATACTTGCTGGACACCAGTGGCTCACGCCTGTAATCCCAGCTATTCAGGAGGAAGAGAACAGGAGGATCGAGGTTCAAAGCCAGCCCAGACAAATGGTTCTCAGGACCCTATCTCAACAAAAAACATCATGAAAAAGAGCTGGTGGGAAAAAAAAAGATTGGCTATTTTGTAGACAAAAAAAAAAAAAAAGAGAGAGAGAGGCCAAATTTCTTTGCACATCACAGAGGTAAGATGAGTCACATGTGACCAACCCTCTTAATGCATACGTACACAGCACAGATGACTTCAGCAATATGTGCCCTTCGCCCTCTGTGGCCACGGGCTCTGCATTCTGGGGTTTGATCAGCCATGAATCAGAAATATTTTTAAAACAGTGCCTGCCTTGGATACGTATGGACCTCTTTTCTCGTCATTATTCTTGAAAAGGTAAGCACTGTGAACATGGCATTTCCCTTGTGCTAGGGACAGTGAGTCACAGAGATAATTTAAAGTACACAAGACGGATGAGGGGTTACCTGTGAGTAACCTTGAGCCCTCTTACCAGGGACTTGGGCATCTATAGACCTGCTATTGCTGGGGGTCCTGGAGCCCCCACCCCAGGGACACCAAGGGCCGACTGGGTGCCATGATGTGCAGGGGGCAGGGTCTTCACTCCTGGACTCGTCTCTGGGAAGGCACCTCCTGGCCTCTTGCACATCTTCAGTCCTCCCTCCTCCTGGTGGCCGAGGAGTTTCCTACTGGACTGGTTAACTTGCAGAGAACTGGACCACACAGGGGCCCCTCACTTCTTCCCTCTCTCCAGCCAGCTGCAGAGAGGGAGAGAGTTCCAGCCTCCTGGGCCCCAGGTACCATGTGCAGCTGTGCCTGGCCCACAGGCACCTGAGGTCAGGTGGGAGGAGGATCCAGGTACCCTTGGCCTGTTTACCTGAGCAATAGAGCAGGGACGACTGCCCAGAGGGGAGCCCTTTCCTAACCACCACGAGGGCACTTTGAGGTCAGGGGTTCCTGTGCTGTCCCCACCCAGGCTGCTCATGTGGCCCGGCCACGCTGGGCTGGGGTGCAGTTGGCTCCACGCCCTTTTATCTGGGCTGCGCTAGGAGTGAGGTGGCAGGGAGACTCAGCTTTCACACCCCTCTGCTCTTGTTCTGTTCCACAGTTTCAGATGTGGGTGGGGGGTCCTTGGAGCGTCATCTCATGCCCTCTGAGCACTGTACTATCAACACTTTCAGACCCCTTGCTCTGGCCTCATACCCTAAGTCTGTACTCCATTTGGGTGAGTACAGGAATCAGAAGGCCATTATTTCTTGAATGTTTAGGGAACACTCGTGGTGTTCAGGACATAGTTTCATGATTTGACAAAGCTGTGACTCAGGATTGCTCTTTTTTTTTTTTTTTGAGCAGGAAGAGCACTGAGGCAAGTCCTCACTATGTAGCCCAGGCTGGCCTGGAACTCAGGATCCTCTTGCCTCAGCCTCCTGAGTACTGGGATTACAGGCGCATGCTACCAGCTTAGGCCTACTCTTAAACCCTGTGGGTCTTCCTAAATGAGCCTGAAATCTCCGTCCGAGGCCTCCACACTGGAGGCTAGCAGTGACCAAGCCAGCTATATGACACACCGGGACAGCTCCATCCTCTGAGCTACCCACCCCTGCCTCACTATGGACAGTTCCAGTTCCTGTTCAATCCAGGACAAGGAGCCAGCAGTGAAACTGTTGCACTTGACTTCCAACAAAAGGACGATAGTATTTTTAAAAAGAACAAAGAACACAGAATAAATTCATCTCTTTTAATTTTTAAACCAATTTTGCGCACTAAAAGTCAGAGTGGTCATCCGCGTCTCCGGGAGGGTTATGATGTAACCGGTGAGGTGGCCGAGCTCCAGCACGACCTCACGAGGCCGGTGTCCAGCTGTGACAAAATCAGGTCCCCTGGGAAGAACTCTAGAAGCTACACTCCTCTGAAGGGAAAAGTGGAGGAGAGAGGCATTCGTGAGAATAAGCATTTTCTTTGACTTTAAGTGACCTCAGGACGTTTTTACTGAAAGTATCAGGAGAATTCTTTAGGAAACACAACTGTTTGTATTTTCATTCTGTTCCCTCCTCTCCTGCCCCAGGAGAGCCATGATCAGCACCAAGGGGGAGGCTTGGGTTCAAGATGTGACAAAGTCAGGGAGGAATGGGCCTCTGGCCAAGTGGACTTTCAGCCCTGACTCTCCGTCCATAATTCAGCCTGATTCGGTTGAAACCATGTCACAGGGTGCCCCAGGGCCATCAGCCTGGAGCCAGAGTTTGGGGAGCATTGCTGACTGGCTCCCAAAACCCCCTGTGGATCCTCTCACCAATCCAGGTCCTGGGACCCCACTGTACTTCAAAAGAAATGGCTAGACATACCTTCTTCAGGGTTCTCAATGGCCAGGGGGTGGAAGCACCACGGGTAACCCATGGTTCTGTCGTTAAAACAGCAGCCTCTGCTTGTGCACTCCTCAGCCGTGATGCCAGAATAACCACAGTTCACCCTCTCCCGGAGGGTCATTGTACATGTGTCTAAGAGTGAGAGTAAGAAGCAGAGGTGAGTCATGGGCTGGATTTCCTGACATTACCATCCACACTCCCACCAGGTCCCTTCTCCAAGGAGGTCAGCCCCTGTCTGGCGATGCTGACAGGAGCCAGGCTCAGGTCACAACAAGGAGATCTGGTCCCTATTTCTAAACGCAGGAACAATGGTGTTCAGGAAAGAGCTGGGGCTGGACTTGCCGACACTGTGCCAATTTACATAACAGAACCGTTCACTCGTTATTTCTACCAACAATCCTTAAATTTTATTCACCCAGTAAGCAAACACTGAGCATCACCCTTGTGTGCTAGAAACAGGAGGTAGCATGTCAATCCGAAAGTAGGCATCATACCTGTGACAGGAGCCCAGAAGTTAAAAGAGAAGGGGGTTACAGTAATAGAGGAAAGAAGACCACACAGTGCAATTGTCCCCCTGTGCCCAGGAGAAGGGCAGGGCAGTGGAGCTCCCAGGAGGGCTCCTTGCAGGAGAAGGCTGGTCAGATGAGGATGTGACAATGGGCAATCTGGGAAGATGGAGGACCATCTGCTGCTGGGGAGGATGGCTGAGGATCCAGCCAGACTGCTCTATGGTCTTGTCCTATGTGGGGACTGCCCAAGCTTTCTAGAAGAAAGGACTCTTGGCTTTGCAGGAAGGATCTGGACCAATCACCCACTTGCTGGTGGCCTCCGTGAAGACATTGGGACTTCACGGAGGCCACAGAGACCCTCCCTAGGGTCCCATTGTAAAGCCAAGATGACCAATGTCCATTCCACAGGTGGTCAGAGGTCAAGAAGACTCAGTACCCCTGTGAAGGCCAGCACCTCCTGGTGACCTACTGCTGCTCAGCTGCTGCTCCCAACAGCAATTAACATTTTCCTGGCCTGTCTACCACTGAATTCTGTCCTGCTCACCCACTATAGTCACATGAGGGAACAAAACAGGAGTGACCACCCTCTAAACTTCTGTTGAAACAGGGTCATGGATCCCATGGAACCCCAAAAGGAGCTGTTGTGCCTTGGCTAGAGGGCAGGGATGAAGGGGGCTGCCAAACTGAACAGTGGCCTGAACTGGGCTCTGAGGTAGGAGAAGGGCAGCACCTGCCCCTCCTCATCCCCGACTCCACCATCATTTCCTCCCTCAGGTTCCGAAGCCCACCTGCTCCCTGCTCCCTGCCATGGAGGCTGTGGGGCTCCGAGCCCTCGCAGGTCTCCCTCTTCCTCCCAACTCACTCTCCTCCCGCAGCCCCACCTGCGGTCAGAGCGGTGGAAAGTGAGCAGAGCGTCTGGCAGCTCTATGGACACTGTCTGCCACCTCCCTCAACCCACGTTAGCCATAATGCTTTACTCTCCACCGCTGAGGGAGCAGCGTGACGTTCTCCCCAGATGGGGACGCTCCTTTCCCTGGCACTTCTCAGGGGCAGGTCTCTGTCACCTGACACCTGCTGCAGTCCCCACCTGCTCTGCTCTTGTCTGTCCTGAGTATGGAATTCCCTTCCAAAGCCTAGACCAGCGGCTGGAAGTAAGCACTGGGTAGCCATGGCTCCCCTAGGCCCTCAGGTTTACTGACTGCACCCAGCAGGAAGCAGGAAGAAGCTTCCTTACCTGCCTGGTCCTCAGCCAGGGTGCTGACAGCCAGCATGAGGACCATGACCAGGACACAGGTCACCTTGTGCTCCATGGCAGCTTCACCTCCTCTCTGCTCCAGAGGAGACCACGAGTCAGCGATGAGAATCTGCCCGGGCTCTTCACTTTATAACATGGGTCCTATTTGCTTAGAGTGTGACATAACGTTTGCTTAGGGAGGTCCCCACCCCTTGACCAAGTACTCTGCACTGATTGCAGGTGTTTCTGAGATGTGGTCACCTGCTGCTTTGAGAGTGCTGATAGGGAGTATGCCATGTCAGGAAGTCATCTCTGTGCGGGGTGTGACATTCAGAATGTCCCCTCTTATCCCATGGGCCGCCTCCTCTGATGTGACAGTGATAGAGGTCCTGGCTGTCTCAGTGGGGATTCTCCCACCAGAGTACACATTGCTGTCCTGCAAGGGAGCTGATTCATAGGGAGAGATGAGCCCCGAGAGGCCTCGTGCTGTCAACAGTGTCCCTTCCAGGCAAGGAGCATAGGAGTCCTGTCCAGCTGACCTTGTCCTTGCACAATGGGTGCTGAGCAGGTTCCAGTTGGTTGGAGAATTCAGGTCTGGTGTGTGGCGGGAGCGCTGTGGCTGGACAAGAGTGTAAGGAAATGAACAGGCCTGCTCCTCGGGCTTTCCTCTCCCTTACGGGATTGACCTACGCACTGCTTCTTTTCTCCACTTGCTTTGTCCTGTGAGACATTTCCATGGCAAATGTGCATGAGAGCAAAGCACCCTTAGGTCCTTCGAGGAGGAAAATGGAACCTATTCAGGGGGCTCTGTTCCAGTGGCATCCACCTTAGGAAGGCAGCAAGCAGTCAGCATCCTGATGAAAGACACTGCGCTCACATCTTGACTGACTGACTGACTGACCTAGGTTATTTCTTCTTTCTTTTCTTTCTGCTTACAGGGGAGTCCTTTTAAGAAAGACAAAGAAAAGAAAGAAGAAATAGTGTCCAAGAACGGATATGGAAAACCGACCAAGTGCACAGATTGGCTCTGCCCACATTTGCTGGCTCCCTGATCCTTTCCCAGGGAGGTTTCCATCTCCCGGGCCATGGTGTCTAAGAGGATGCCCTCCACCCAGCAGCTGTACCCCCACCCGGCTCTGCCCTTTCATAGGCCTCTCTGTCCTCTAACCCACAGTAGACTGCAAGGTGCACAAGGGCAGGGGCTTATCTGCACTGAGGTGGCCCTGTCCTGAAAGCAGCACCCTCAGTAGACAAGCCATCAAAAGCTGCTGAAGAATCGAATAACTGAGCAGCAGAAATGTCTCCTGTTGGTGAAAGCTGAAGAGACACACACATGGCCTCCAAGACGTCCACTCTGTTCTTTCTAGGAGATAAGCCCTGGACCTTTCTAGGAGCGGTCTGAGTTAGAATTGGGACCTTCCAGGGTCCAGTGCCTCCTACAACCCTGAGCGAGTGGAGTCTGCTGGAGAGAGAGAGGCCTGGTGGGCAGGAACAGGGGCCTTCTGCGATGGGGTTGATTTTACCACAAATCAGGGGTGCCAGGCCTTGGGCCATGCGCCTGGTGACAGTGTTTCTTTCCCTCGATTCTGTTTTCTCAGCTCAAGGGGAGCCCTCAGAGAAGGGGATGCAAGCTGTGCAGCCGTCGAGAGGAAAAGCAGATGGTGTTGGCTGAGGTCTCGTGGCACAGACCACAACCCAGTTACTCTGCTGGTTCTGTCCAATGTCTACCCCAGGCAAATGCTGACGCTAGCGTGGAAGGAAACGAGCAGAGACAAGCTTTGCAGCATTCTTATAAAAAAATGGAGGGAGGGAGGGAGGGAAGGAAGAGAGCGAGGCCAGAGCTGACCTCAGAGGGAGGACAGTGGGCCTGGGCTCCGTTCCTCTGCGTCACCTGTTAGATTTCCAGTGGAGGACTATAGCATGATGCCACGCTGCAACCTTTAAATAAAACTCAGTTTAAAATGGAGAAGAAAGTGCAGAACTGAGTGCAAATCCACTAATCAGTGTCTTAACCGTGCTGGTTGTGAGTTTATTATCTGTGAAATAAAGTGGCTGGACCCTGTGATGTTTAATCTAAAACTCCCCTAACGAATTAATCAAGCAAGCAAAAATAAATGAATAAAACCCTCCCTTAAAAAAAGTTAATCATTGTGGGGGGGTACTAGTGGGAGGAGGAGGGAGAATAAAAGAGATGAAGGTGATGGTATATGGTAGATGGACTTCATACCTATATGGAACAGACCTAAGACACCTCTTGCAATTGCTTTAAGTGGAGTGGGGAGGGGCTGAGGGGGAGAGACGATGGGGGCAAGGTAAATAACGTACAATAAGTCTAATCGGAATTGTCACTACAAATCCCCTTTGTATAATGAATATATCCTAATTTAAAAAATTTATAGCAAAAAAGGAGAAGGAAGTAAACATAAGCACTAATGGACAAAAAATAATAAAATTGTCTTCCCGTTCAAAAAAAGTAAGTCATCTAATAAAACTCTCTCCTAAAAAATTAAACAAAATAGACATAACTTGCTCTTAAAAAAAATCAAACAAAAATAAATAAAACTCTCCCTTAAAAATTAAAAGTCTCCTCTAAAAATTAAACAAAAATAGTTTTCCCCTAAAAAATTAAGCAAACAAACAATGACTAACTAAAAACTCTCTCCTAACGGGGAGGTCTCTTCTCACACTGCTAGTGGGAATGTAAATTAGTGCATCTGCGATGGAGAACGGTACGGAGGTTCCCAAAACACTAGAAATGGTAAATGATCCAGCAATTCCACCGCTGGCTGTGTATCCAAAGGAGACGACCTCAGCTTGTGGAAGTGACATCTGCCCACCCCCCCTCCCCAGGCCACAGCCACATTAGTCACACCAGCCAAGATGTGGATGGCACCTAAGAGTCCATCGAGTGATGAGAGGATAAAGAAAAGGTAACATATATGTCCTCAATAGAATAATACTCAGCCATGAAAAAGCATGAGGCCCTGTCATTTGTGGTGACATGAATGAACTGCAGGACATTGTTAAGAGAAATACGACAGGCACAGAAACACAAACACCATGTGTTCTCTTCCTATGTGGGAACTAAAAAGTTGAGCTTGACACAGAGAGCAGAACGGTGATTAGCAGAGGCTGGGAGGGTGCAGGGATGGAGGGTGGACGGAGGAGGACTATGGGTGCAGGGTGCAGTTGGAGGAGCACTGACTCCTAACGTCTGTAGGCTAGCCATGGCTGACAGCAGTCAACTAAACGTTTCCAAATAGCCAGTGCAGATGCTCCCAACACAAAGATGTGATGTCTGAGGCAATAGATGTGCCAGTCTTGCTGAGCTGGTCTTCATAATTGTGCACCGAAATGTCACACTGCCCCCCACACATAGGCACAATTACTATGTGTCATTTAGGGATAAAGGTATACATTAAAAAACAAAGCTCTTCCCTGCCAACTCCCATGACCACAGTGGGCACTGCCTGCTTTGCTGGGCATCAGACGTGTAGTGCTCGTTTATTAATCAGAACCACTCTCCCCACCCCCTTCTCAGTACACCTGGCTAGGCTGGGCTGACAGGCTCCTGGCCCCGAGCCACCTTGTTTCCTGCCGGAAGGGAGCCTGGAAAGAGGACTGGCTCCTCCCATGGTCCTCCCACTGCTCCCTGCCACCCGCCCACCAGCACAGTGCACCCAGCCCTGGCCTCCTGCCTCCTCCAGCTCCAGCTGCCTGGGCGACTCCAGCAGGAGATGGGGGTGAGAGGAAGCGGCCACAGGGTGGGTCACCTGAGTCCCTCCCTACAGGGGAGCCTAGATGGCCACAGTACTCTGAAAACCACAGCATGGCAGCCCCCTCCTTACTCCTCAAGACTGCTGGGTTTAGGACCCCGGAGGGACTGAGCCCCCTTTCTTTCTCTCTCCTCAATGGAGGTGACCAGCCCGAGTCCTGCCAGGCTTTGGATGACACAGAAATTGCCACCCGTGCACAGACTGTCAAAGCGAGGCCCCGAGATCAGGCTCCTCAGGAGTCTGAGGTGCCAGACACTCTCTTGATCAGGGATGCAGTGGCCCTGCTGACACATGGCATGGAATGCCACCACAACCTCCCACACTAACCCGGGAGGGGACAGGCAGTGGAGAAGGGTACCAGGTGGGTGATTAGAGGTGGACGGCCAGGACGATAGATTTCTGGTGACATAAGGGTGATAAAGATTGAGATGAGTTGGTGTCTTCCAAGGGCCCGTCACTGCATTCCAAGAGGAAGAAGACACGGAGCCCTGGGACTATCCCCTGCAAACAGGATGGCCAGCTGAGTCTTCTCACCATTCCTGAAGCAGCTGCAGGAGCTGTGGAGCTCCCATGTGCAGATCAAGTGATCTTCACCTCTGGTCCCCTTACCCCACAGTCTCAGCATCAGTGAGGAGAGAGCGAAACTCAGAGATATGGGCTTGGGGTACTTAGACAGAAATGAAACTGCAGTTTTGAACCCCAGAACCTTCTCTACTGTCCAAGGCAGAGCAGCTTCCCTTTGCTTGGAGGCCTGTGGCAGCCACACCTCGACTCAGACACAGAGACAGAGGTTGGGGACATGGAGGGGTGAATGGGTGAAGGATGTGTGGTGTGCACACACAGTGCAATGCTGCTCAGTGTTATGGGATATTCTTCCTTTTCTAGAATGTTCAGCAAAGTCCCCTGGCCCGAGTGGCCTCGAAAACAGAACTGTTCTGTCCCATAGTGCAGGAGGCCAGAGATGAAAGTGCCATGAGGACAGGGCAGGGTCCCTCTGAGGGACAACCAGCTTGGGCCTCTCTCCCAGCTGCCTGCAGCCTCGCCCGCTCCTGTGGCTTGTAGATGCAGCTCCTGCACTCACATCACCTCCCGCTGTGCGTGTCTGTGTGGGGTTTCTCCTTTTTATAAGGAAGCAGTTCTATAGCCACCTCGATGCTCCATCTTAACTCAGTCATCGGCAAAGACCCTACTTCCAAACAAGGTGACACTCACAGGTGCCATGGCGAGGGCTTCCATGCCATGCAACACAAGGCACCAGCAAACAGCCCAGATCATCCTGGGGTGATGACCCTGAGAGAAG